GTTATTTCATGTAGAACAAAACATGAACAAAATAAATTATTCGACTAGGCACCAACTACCTCGAATACGCCCTTTGAACTTTTCAGTCGTATGTGTTACACCGTTGTTGTACGAAACGGACACAGTAGACGTAAAGAGTTATTAAAGGAGGTCGGCCCCGTTTCACATACCGGTTGAGCATATCTCATTTACTCCAGTTCATCAGCCGAAACACGGCCAACTTCTACCAATGGAAGAACAAAGTATAGGCAGATCTGCTTTTCGACAGCAATATTTCCTTCTACAACACATTCATCGGTACGTTAGAGCAAAAGTGTTGGAACGGAATATCACAAGCCAGAGACGTACAGCTTATGCAAATGAATCAAAGTGATCAGTTCATCAAACATAACAATAAACACATATTTAGAGTTCACATTGGCGTCGTGCCATAATTCGCTGCATTCCTAAATATTTGTCTCGCGTAGATTGTTTTTACAATTATGGCATAATGTATATGATAAACTTTGAAAATAAACCAACAAATGATATGCGAATCATTTCGACGATCACCCTGCTTGTCATGACCCTAGCTGAAGACCGTCCGCCACTCGTCGTTGCTGAGTGGTGTTTGGCGACTTGGAAGCGAATGTTCGGCTCTGACTCGATGTCCTCGAAACTTCGATCAGACAACACCCTCACAAGCGTCCGGCATTCGGCAGCGATCTGCTGGTCGTTGAATACGAACGTAAATAGCCTTGGGATGTCCCGGAAGTTGAACAGCATGATATCACGGAGAAGTTCTGCTGGTTTTCTACCGCACAACGTTGCCGTAGCTGGAATCAGGCATTGGAGTGCCTTTGTAGCGTTTCTGAAATGATTTAGCATCATGTTCCCGAGCTCTGAGAAGCTATGTTGAACAAACAATAAGAATTGTTTAGGGCAACAGATAATATGATCCGAATGTAACCGTATATCAATAAAATATCTGAATTATCAACTCGTTAAATTAATCGTCATATTATACTTCATTGTTAGTCTTGGGTTTCGTAAGGCTGGAAAAATTGCTGATAAATTTATCGCTGCCATGCATCATCTGAAGATTTGGTGGTGATAGCGTTTCTACTCTCAAAAGTTTTTTTCCATACTTCTTTTTTCTGCATAATATAAAGATAAAATCAGCAATCGATTATAATTGCGGTGGTAGTGGTTATGGCAACTATGCTAATTATCGGCATGTGCTAAACATATCTGAACTTTCCTTTCTTCATTGGGGTAGCTTGTGATAAATAATTATTTTGAGCCGTCACAGTGTTTACATATTAATACGAATAGCTTCATTGTGTTTCAGTCGACCGTGGCGAGGCAAGCATTCGACATGCAGACAAGTTTATCGAGGAAGGAAACAAGAACGCATGGGTAACGCTACAGCAAGGAATGACATTGAAGAAGAGCAATGTGGTTGAGGCAGAAGCCGAAACGAAAAACGGTTTTATCATCGAGTTGTACGATGAAACAGCTTGTTCTAACGAAAGAGCAAAACGACGGTCAAACTGCGTATGCAGCGTTAACGACGGTTAAATGGAAAGACCACGCGTAGAAT